ATATAGATATTTGCATTTTCTTACATACAGACATCCAGTTTGACCAGCACCATTTGTTGAAGATGCTGTCTTTTTTCCAATGTATATTCCTGGTTTCTTAATCAGTCAGGTATCTATAGGTATGCAGACTTATGCCTGAGTCTTCAATTCAATTTCCCAATATCCTCAGGGAAGAGGAAGGCTATTTGCTGCTGCTCTCAGAATCCCTCAGGTGACTGTAGCTTTTTTTCCCCTAGGGTTCATAGGCATCATAGCTGAGTAAAACTGTTTATTGGTTGCTTCCCTCTTTCGGAAGCTTGCATGGTACCAGGATAGCTATGGTGTAGGAGGTCTTTCTGTATTTGTGTTGCTTTCATTGGTTAATAAAGAAACTGCCCTGGCCTGCTGTTAAGGCAGAACTTAGCTAGGCAGAGAAGGCAGAACTGAATTCTGGGAGGAAGAAAGCAGAGACAGAGAGAGAACTGCCATGGAGCTGCCAGGTCAGACATGCATAATCTTTCCCAGTAAGCCATGACCTCGTGGTGACATACAGATTAATAGAAATGAGTTAAATCAAGATGTGAGAGTTAGCCAATTAGAAGCTAGAGATAATGGGCCAGGCAGTGATTTAATTAATACAGTTTCTGTGTGATTATTTCAGGGCTAAGCTAGCTGGGCAGTCGGGGCGACAAGCAGGCCCTCATGTTACATAGCTAATCCTCAGGAAGGAGGTTTCTGGATGAGAACCAGCTTAGAGTTTCTATGTCTTGTGTCTGAAATGCATGATGCCTTCAGCAATGCTTTTTCTCCCCAAGGAAATTTAACGAACAACAAGTAAGTTAATAACAGTCATTAACACAAGAAGATATTTGAAATATAATGACAGGAAAGCAGATCACCCGTATCTAACAATGCAGCCAATTAAATTAACTGAAACCTCCTTTGCCATAAGATTCTGTAAGGCAAAATAAAGTAGACACACACAAAAAGATAAAACACACACACACAAACATCATTTTTTTTTGTATTTTGTTTTTGTTGTTATTTTGGAAACAAGGTCTTTCTGTGTAGCCCTGGGTGTCTGGGAACTTGCTCTGTAGACCAGGCTATCCTCAAACTCAGAGATTTGCTTGTCTCTGCCTTGTGAGTTCTGGGGTTAAAAACCTGTGCCATCACCATCCAGCCACACCAAAAAAAAAAAAATCTGTTAATTGCATAGTTGAGCTCTCAAGAAACAAAGGAGAGCATCCAGGTACCTAGAAGTAGGGGGAAACTGAAAGCCAGAATGGGAATTTTGTGAATGGAAGCTGTAGTTTTCCTAAAAAAAATAGTTTCCATTTTTAAAGACTGAAGAACAGATGCTGAGATCTTGGACTCAAGGGCAGTAGCATAAAGCTGGGTCCCTAGAAGGGCTGTATCCTCTGAACATGGTCGAACTGGTAAAAACAGTCAATCTGCATCCTAGTCTGCAAATCATACCTGTGTCTGTCTAAATTCGGGGAGAAAGGGCAATGTCCTAAGAATTATAACTTTGAAACCCAGTTAGACTGCTATTCTAGTATATAAGTGATAAAAATATTTTCAGAAATGAAAGAAAAATATTTTCACACGTGCCATGAGAGGACTCAGAATGCACAGACCTTTGTTGAACAAAATCCTGAAGGATGTGCTTGGGAGGGGAAACACTAACCCAGAGAAAGGGACGATAAAATAAGCAAATGGGTAAATACATCGACTGTGATAAATGATAATAATTCATAACCCAGAGATAGGAAAATATAGTAGAGGTAGCACGAGTGAGTTAAAAGTAAGGCCTTCAGTTATTTCATGGAATGGTAGAACTAAAAAAAACTTTTAGGTTTGTGAGCTTAAAAGAGGGACACAAAACAGAACCATGTCACTTTCAAAGCAGAGGGAAGAAAATAGAGAATTTTAAATTTTGATTAATGGGAAAGAAAGAAAGAAAAAATAGTCTAAGGAAATCAGACTAAAACATTAATTCCACGACATGCTGTAGATAAATAGAAATGTATCATAATAAATGGAACTGGACTAAGACTTTTGAATACAAAATCCTAGTTGAAGTAAAAAGTTCCAAATCTTATCTTCATGTTTGCTGTTTACCTTATATAAAATATGGAAAACATGAAAAATGTTGCAAAAAGATAATGTCTGGTGAATACCAATGGAAATTGATACAGCCATGTTAATAATATGTGAAATGTTCTTGAGAGCAAGAAATTATTAAAAAGACCACTGCAACAGGGCATGAAAGCACACCAGTAATCCTTGTACTTAGGAGACAAAGGCAGGCTGAGCTTCATGGGGAGTTGATGGCTGGCTTGCCTGTGTGTACAAATTCCCGGCCACTCTGGGCTAGCCACAAGAACCTATCTACTTCAAAATAAAATTAGAAATAAAATAAAACACATATGAATCACTTAACACACTATTTTACCAGAAAACTAACACAATAAGAGTTTTAGAACAAAATAATTTAAAACAAATGTATTTAGAAATGAAAAGAAAGTAGGCCCTGAAACCAGTTTATGTACTATTGTCATCCTAGATGGGGTAAAAGTTTGCTGTGCACTAGGGAAAACAAATTGGGAAGAGGCACCAGATTGTAGGTACTTCCAGGTTTTGCTTTAAGTTCACAATATTTTGTGTACTGTTGAAGTTTCCTAGCTGCAGTATACCATCATACATATTTTTCTAATGATTAAAATCAGCAATATATTTTATTTAAAGTACAATATAGATGGAATAAAAGTTTGCTTGTGCTGCTGCAATAGCGTCCCAACGCCCTCGATCGTATCCCTGCTCTAATCTCCTGTACTCTCTTTCCCCAGGCGCTGAGAATAAAGTCCACATTTTAACCATAGCTCACAAGGTTCTATAGGACAGTTCCCTGGTCTACCTTCCCAACCTTCTCTCTAATCATAACCCCCCAGGATCATGTGTTTCCTTTCTTTCATCCCACACCTCTTCCAGACCTGCATCTCCACATCTGCTATCCCTTGTGTTGAAAAGCTTTACTGCTCTCTCCGTTCCCCAAACCCTGTGTATCTTGTCTTAAGTATGTGTGCTGGTTAGGTTTGGGGCGGGGCGTTTGTTTTTTTGTCTACATGACAAAATTTGGGGTTATCTGAGAAGATAGAACCTCAGCAATTGTGTCCATCAGACTGGCCTGTGGTCATGTCTGTGAGGGCAATTTATTGAGGTGGGAGGGCCCAGTCACTGTGGGTGGTGCTACCCCTGGTCAGATGGCCCTGGATGGCATAAGAAAGCAGGTTGAGAAAGTTATGGAGAGCAATAACAGCTCTCCTTCCACAACTTCAGTCCGTACCTCCAGGTTCCTACCTTGACTCTCCTGGATGATGGATTGTGATGTGGAAGTGGAAGGGAAATAAACCCCTTCATTGCCGAGAAGCCTTTGGTCATGCTGTTTCTTCACAGCAAGATGAAAGCAAGCCAGGATCGTAGGATATACGATGCCACAAGTGGGGTTCTAAATTACAATTCTGAAAGTGGCTATGATTCACTAAAAACGGTGACAAGGTAATTTTCCTTTTATATTGTCATTTCTACATTTTATTTAGTGGACTATTTGTAAAAGAAGAAAATCTTGTGACTGTGCCTTAAAACAAAGCAACAGTGTAACCAATGGTGTTTTTATTCTAAGGCTAAGGGACAGTAAAGGAGGATGATTTAAGATGGACGCAATCATTGAGCATATTTCACTGTTCTTGGAACTCTCTTTCTTTATATAATTGATATAGCACAACCTAACTAAAGGCCAAGTCATGGTGGCCTAAATATCTACTGGTCTAGGGACAACTGGAAGACATTCTGTTAGTTTGAGTAATAATTGCCTTCATAATTAAAGTCAGTATTGCAGGGGAAAAAAGAGACACACTTTTCAGAGTCATCAATGTTCTGTAGAGAAGAAAGATATTGATTGCTACTAAGCATTGCCACAGAGATTACATTTTAGGTTGTGACATTAAATTATCCTTTGAGACAAGGTCTCTGTATGGTTGTCCTGGAACTCACTAGGTAGATAAGGCTGGCTTTGAACTCACAGAGATCCATCTGCCTCTGCCTCCTGAGTGCTGGGATTAAAGGTGTGTGCCACCACTCCTGACCTATGATATTAAATCCTTAGAACATAACTGTCGAAGAAGATGCTGAAAAAGCAAAGCAAAAAACCTTCTAGTGTTCCAACACAAGTGACTAAAATTCATAGACATTAATTTTCTTTGCATTTCTCCCTCTTCCTCCATTCTCTCCTCCCTTCCTCCCTCTATCCTTCTCTTTTTCCCCTCACAGAAGTCATGATGGTGACTTAAATGTCGGAGTCTCTTGGCATAGTGCTTTGATAATCACTTCTTTTAAAACCTTAGTCTTATTCTTCTGTTAGTTCTAGTCAGAAACAAGATGGCTGGTAGCTATGAACATAATTGACACCATGAAATATTTTACTGAGTATCCTCTTGATGGTTAACACAGAAGTGATAAACATATTTCAGATGTTTGTCTCTTTTCAAATTGACTCCCAATTAATCTCACAGTTCTATAATGATGTGTGAAGTCAAAGTTACAAAAATGATAAAATATAACTTTTAATAAAGTTATGAAATATTCTCATTCAATAGTATACAAAATGCAAGGATCACCGGAACAACGCATAAAAATAAGAGTGTCCAATAGAGATATAAAAATGGGAGAAAACTGAATCTACAAATATATCTCTACATTTTACTTTTTCAAGTAAACACATGGCTCATATGACACAGCAAATTATTTATAGTCCTTTTTTACCTGTATGTTACAAAGCAATATTGAGGGCATGAATAGAAAACAGCCTAAATCATTGACAAAAATCAATAAAAAAAACCAACCAAATGAATTTTTCAGATGATAATAATGACAAATCCCTGTGTAGCAGGTTCTATCATAGTGTAATAAATAGATCTTCAGACTGTTGAGTTAAGTGAATCACCTATTTTATGGTCATAGTTGCATTTGCAATTGATAATGTAATCTTGTTGGATAACCTGTAAATATCTTATTCATCTCTCAGTATAAAAATGGAGTAGCGCCCTATTGTATGAGAGAACCATGTTTCCTAAGAGTAACAGAAGTGACTGTAACAGATCAAAACACCACTAAAGTTCTGGACCTTTCTAAAATATGTCAGAAAACAAAAGAGGACATAACCAATATTCAAAGTTTAAAAAAAACTGTTTCATTGTCATGTGTTTTCCCCTTTTCTTTTCCTTATTCATACAGTTTCAGGAAAGATCGAAATCAAAGTCTCTTTGCAGAGTCATCCTGACTTCAAGCATTTCAGTTTCCTGGATATAGGATGCTTTAGCGCTGTTGCGTTCCACAGGCTGGGGAAAGTTTACTATCAGCTTCCTACAAAGGAGGCAAGATAAAACAAAATGAGATCAGAATGAACTTCCTAGAGTAATATACCATGTTCAATAAGGGTGTGTGTGTGTGTGTGTGTGTGTGTGTGTGTGTCCGAGATGCTTGACTTTCCTGCAAAAGTATTTAGACAATATAAATACCAAATAAAATATACCTATATAACACAGATCATGTATCAGTTTGGATCCTTATACTTCTAAGCAGGCAAGCCACATGTGGTGCATGCATACCTATGTGGAAGCAGGAAGATTCCCAAGTTCAAGACCAGTGTAGGCAACAATGAGAATCCCAGGTTACCCTGGGCTGCATAGTAAGATCCTGTTCCATTTTAAAAAAATCCAAATAGTAGTTTTGAATGAGTCTCCCTCTTTCTCTAAATTGACCTTGTTCTGCATTGTATAACGTCTCAGGTTATGCCTCTAGTGTAGAACTAGAACCATGCCTCTTTAAGTTTGTTCGGCTAATCTGGTATCAGTCTAATTTATATGTAGGTAGAATGCAGACAGCTGAAACAATTCTGAAATTGGGGTGGTTCTTTAACACTTCTGCTAACACCACTTTAGGGTGAACCACTACTACATATGTAGACTTTAAATACTTGGCCTGGAATGTTTTCAATGCCAGATCAATGGAAATATTTCTTTCATTTTGCTTCTGGTTCTTAATACCGCACACTGACAAATTCGTTGCAATGGATTTCTTGGTTTATCCTGCTGTTTATGGCTCAGCTGTGTGCTTTTAAATGTGTCACTGCGATAAGCCAACCATAATCCTGTCATAGTGGTAGGAATCTGAAGTATGCCAAGGGCCATAGCACTCTGATACCTGAAGAAAGTGAAACATGTGAACCACTTATTGCCCTCGCGTTCTCAGTAGACAGGGCTTAAGTGTGCATGTGTGGATGTGTATTCGTGTTTCTCTGTATGTGCACATGCAAGGGAGTGCATGTGGAGAGCAGAAGGTGGCATCAAGAGTCTTCCTCAACTGCTCTTCATCTTTTGTTCTGAGACGGGGCTCCCACTGGGCCAGCGAGCAGCACTCCCCCGTGCCCCGGTTCAGTTCTTGTCTCCAGGCTCCCGGCCTGCTTGTGTTCTTGCTCTGGCTTTACTCAAGGGTGGACTATGACCTGAAAACTGCAAAAATGAAACAAGCCCTTCCTCCGCAAGCCGCTTTGCGTCAAGGTTTCATCACAGCAACAGAAAGCAAACTCAGATGGTAGATATGTTATTCTTCACGTGTCCACGTTATTTAGATAATAGAGTACACAAACGACCTAATTCAGGCCAGGTTCTATGTGGAAAGGTGCCTCTGTGAGAGACTTTCATTTAGTGAGTTCTGGGGGATAGCTGGAATGATGGCGAAGCTAGAGCAGCTGCCTCAAGATTGATGGAGACAGTGAGAACTGCCAGAGAAACGGAAATTAACTGCATGGGGTGCTGATATGCATGGATTTTAGCAGGCATGAAAATACCATGGAAGGCTGACTGTTCTCTTAAACAACTTTCCTTACAAAGGTTGTACGAAGAATAAATGTGTATAAAAACATTGCATAAAGCTTAACTGCTCTGTGGAGTGATGGTAAGAATAGTGAATCTAATTTTTGTAAGATGGGATGTAAGAATACTTTTTAAAATTATTATTTTATTTTATTACTTAAAAAATACCTATCCAAATTCCCACTTCCTTCCCTCCTCTCACTTCCCTCCCACTCCCTCCACACACCCTCCCCACCACCCCTTCCAATTGTAAGAGAGGGCAAGGCACCATGCCCTGTGGGAAGTCAAAGGCCCTCCCCACTACATCCAGGTTGAGCAAGGTATACATTCAAAAAGCCAGTACATGCAGTAGAGACAAATCCCAGTGCCATTGTAATTGGCCCCTCAGGCTGCCCCAATTGTCAGCCACATTCAGAGGGACTAGTCTGATCCCATGCTCGTTCAGATATGAGAACAAGGAAAGAGATCTCGACTGAGGGAGCCATTTTGGGGTTAGCAAGAAACCTGGCTCTAGAAAAATTCCCAAGAATCCACATGGATGACCCCAGCTAATACCCTGGGAATGAACTAGAATACCTTTTTAAGTGGGGGGAATGCTCAGAAGAATGTTTAGCTAAATATTCATCTGTAGATCATTTTGTGTTAAATGAATTTTCTGCAGAAATAAAGAATAGTCTTTTAGTAGACCACCATTTTTTAAAAATCTTCTCAAAGCCCTAAGCTCAACAAAAGAAAATTGTAGATATTGATAATAAAGGACAGGAATGTTCCAGGAACTGCCTGCTTCCTAAGCCCAGAGAGAAAAGGTGATGAGTTCTAGAGAACGGGCCACAGCAATCGCCAATATGTATTCACTGCTGCAATCCACATGGGAATGGAGCAAATCAGTGAGACACTTAGATACTTCTTCAAATATGCACCAGAGTCCAATAATGTCCTTTCAAAAGAGTGAGTTTTGAGAGTCAGGACTCGTTTATCTATGCTTCAGGTGAAATATTTTGTAAGGCTATTCCTGAATGTGTTGTCTGAGGAACATGATTTGAACTGACAGAATGAGAAGACTATGATTTTGTGGATTTTGAAAAAAATGAACAGTCCTCAAATTTTAATCTTAAAGGCCTACTAACTTTCAAAAGTTTAAAGATGGCACTTCCCTTCTACAACCACTGCACCCAATTTCCTATTAGTATGTAAGCAAAGCTTACAGCTTAGCACTTCCAGCTAGTTTTTTCCCTGATAGATAAAACTATATTAGAATGTCAAGGATTATTTTTCAATGGTGTCAGGCCATATCCAGTATGCAGTTGCAAAATATAAAAGCTAGATATTTCCAAACATTTTTGGATTAATCACAGTCCTGTGCATACTAAGCAAGCACTTTATCCCATAGTTAGAGCCTAGCCCCCAAATTCACTTGATTGTGCAGATGAAAATATCTGAATTCTCAAAGAACACCTCACTCTTCTTAGGACTTTAAGGTTGATGAAAACTAGCTTTAAAAAGCAATATTCTAATGACTCATTAATTTGATAATATTCTACTTCAATTCTATGTTTTACTTACTTTTTAGGAGTGCGAAGATCAAGGAGAGTTTCTTGGATATCAATTTCAATTTCAGAAGGGTTTGTATCAGGCAGTTTAATTTTCACCTAAGATAAAATAAGAAAATACTACCATTTTGGAAAGCAGTTACTTTTGAAAGCATAAGACTATATAAAGAACGGAGAAATAATATTTGCTAAGAGGAAATGCCAACTGTGTGCCAGGCTATGTGGTTTCCTTTTATTGATCTTAATAAACAGAAGTTATTAGCTCCATTTTAGTCATGGAGAGACCGAGTAGTTCATCGAGGAGATAAAGGGCAGGCATCGGTAATGTGACTAAACATCTTCTGACTCACTAGACTTGTAGAGATCTCTGGACACCTTTATATGAGTAGGACTCACATAAATGTAGAAAATGTCATGTTAAGTGTAGGTTGGTCATGCCAATTTGCAATCTCTTGATAAAAATACCCATACCACATTTTCTAGGGAAGTATTGGCCTCCAGAAAAGTTAAGTGAACAAAAGAAAAATAATACTATAACTATCTCCTAAGAAGGACTTCCTACTAGTTTAGCAAGATTGCACTTACAAATGTTTCATCACATTTACTATAGGGCCCAGCAGTCAGCAGCATTTCCACTTTTGGTTATAGATCCAAAAGGCCACTTGTGGCTACATACTGAGTTGAGAAAAGCCTGAGCCACATGAGACCTTGCCTCAAAACAACAGCAATGACAAAAAGGAAAAAAGAAGAAAAAAAGAAAAAGAAAACATATTCAAAATTTTATACATGGTTTTGTTCATAATAGCAGCATTCAACATAGTCAAAATGTATCAACAACCAAAATATGCGTCCATTGATGAATGGATAAAGGAAGTATAACATGTACACACAGTGGAATATTATTGAGCTGAAGAAAAGGACAGAGTACATTAAATATTTTTAAATGTGTATGAGTGTTCTGTCTGCATGTATGCCTGTGCACCACATTATACCCAGTGCCTAGTGGTCAGAAGAAGGCATCAATCTCTTGGGACTGGAGTTACAGGCAGTTGCAAGCCGCCATGTAGGTACTGGAACTAAAACCCAGGCCTTCTGCCAAAGCCACCAGTGCTCTTTACTGCTGTGCCATCTCTCTAGCCAAAGTACATTTTATTGATAAATCCTGAAAACATTATGCTGAAGGAAAGAAGCCAAGCATTAAAAGGTGCATTGTGTAGGATTTTATTTATACAGCACGTTCAACCTAGGCCAATCCAGAGGTAGAAATTGGACTGGAGTTTGATAGAGGCTGGGGAATGGAGAAAAGTATCTGCTAAATGTGTGTGAGATTTCCTTTTAGGTATAAGAAAATAATTTGGAAAATAGATATTAGTGGTGGTTATATAGCACTCTGAATAACTAAGCGTCACCAATGATAAATGTATATTTTACCACAAAATTGGACTTCTCTAATTTACATCTCTCTTAGTTAGGGTTTTTATTGCTGTAATAAAATGCCATGATCATAAACAACTTGGGGAAGAACGGGTTTATTTCATTTTAGAGCTTTTAGTCCATTATCCTCCAGGCAGGAACCTGGAGGCAGGAACTGATGCAGAAGTTATAGAGGAAGGCTGCTACTGGCTTGGTCCCCATGAACTGCTATTCATATGCATCCCAGGACCACCTGCCCAAAGATGTCACCACTCACTGTGATCTGGGCCCTCCTACATCAATCCTAAATTTTTAAAAAATGCACAGTAGGCTTGTCCAAGGGCCAATCTGGTGGGAACATTTTCTCAATTGAGGTTACCTTTTCAAAAATGACTCCAGCTTGTGTCAAAGTGACATAAATTAGCCAGCAGAACTCATTTTGTGATGGGAGTTAACATTATGATATATAAAAGTGGAAGGACATATAGTATCTATAAACAAAAGAATAAAAAAATAAAATCCAAAGTTCAGGTAAATTATAAAGCTTTTTAAAAGATGAACTTGATGACCTGACATTTTAGTTATTTGGATAGTCCAGTTGTTGGAATGGCCAGGGTAAAAGCAAGGTTTAAGGGAAATGCATATGAAATAATGTGACATACTGGAATTTCCTCCTAAAATGCTCAATGCACACAACAGTATTTCCGTAGCATAAGGTATGTGGATCAATATATGCTTCTGAATTTATTAAATCTGTACTTAAGTATGATGATAGATAGCAATCTAGAGGGGATAGTGTTTAAGTACTTACTGTGGTTAAATTTTTGTTCAAACAGTTGCCTTCTAAAATACATTTCAGAAATTAAATCTTCATAATTAGAGATGCCCTAATTGAAATAAATAGCACATTTTTCACAGAAGCAGTTATAGGCACTCTGACTCAAAATAAATGAGCATTAGATAGGACCAAAGTCCCATTTCTGCTGAAATAACCTTCCAGTCAGATAGTCAATTTGAGATGCCCTTTAATGTCTCATATTCACCAAATAGATCAAGGGATAGAACTATTTGTTTCTTAACTTTGAAATTGTTTAAAAGTAAAATAGTATTTCATAACGATTGAAAGGATACTTGAGAAGAAAGACCGATGATGTATGTGAAATTTAGATAGAATTCCTAGGCAGAACTTCAAAGTGGTTATTATAATAATCTGTGCTTCCAGTGAAAGATAATTCAAAGAAGCAGCTCACTAATTTTTCCTCTTAAGAAAATTAAAAGTGTCTGCTACAATATTTCAAAGGAGGGACAAGAGAAAAGACAGATTAGGTGGGATGGTGCACACCAATCTCTAACAAGATAAGGATTCCATGGGGATCTAACAGTAAATCCCCTCTTGAAACTGGAAGGACTTGTACTCGTCACATGGATCAAGGGATACAATGGGTTCTTTACTTTGAACTGTTTAGTTCTTTAAAGGAAAAAATTATCTCTTGTAATCTTAGCAGAAACCCCTCCTGAAACTTGAGTCAGACTTTTTAATAATTGGTACTGTCAATGAATACTTGGAAAACAGTTGACCTCTGATTGTGAGAAAGGCTTTCTTTGTTAAAAATTTCCACATCCAGGATACCACTGACCAAACAAAGGAATTTAGATTCTTTCTTTTACATAGCTTACAAATTGAATTCATTTAAAGATGACTACACAAACAAGATCTGAACAATGACATTATCAATAGAGATGCTAATGCTCAAGGGGGCAAAATACCATGAGATTCCACCCACAAGACAAGGAACTACAAGCAATTAATGACTGCTGAGAAGGGATCCAGTCCCTAAACAGGAATGAGCCCCCTAATTAATTACCCAATGCAAAAACGTTCAGTCCTAAAATCATATACATACAGGCAACAAAAATGAACTTAGCAGGTTGTGTGTGTGTGTGTGTGTACATATATAATAAAAGAGGCTAACAACTTGAGGGGGAACATAGGAGGGGTTAGAGGGGTAAAAAAAAGGGGGAAAGTGATGTAATTCTATTTCAATTAAAATGCATTAAAAATAATTTTATCCCATGCTTTTTCAGTCACTCTCTGAACATGGCGGACAATGAGAGCTGATGAGAAGCCAAGGACAATGGCACTGGGTTTTGATCCTACTGCATGTTCTGGCTCTGTGGGAGCCTAGCCAGTTTGGATGCTCACCTTCCTAGACCTGGATGGAGGGGGGAGGACCTTGGACTTTCCACAGGGCAGGGAACTCTGACTGCTCTTCAGACTGGAGAGGGAGAGGAGTGGGAGGAGGGGGAGGGAAATGGGAGGCTGGGAGGAGGCGGAAATTTTTTTCAATAAAAAATAAATAAAAAGTAATTTTAGGATATTTTATATATAACTTGGCTAGCCTATAATATTTACTGAAATTTCAGTAAAGCTTAATATATACAGATGGTTTCATGTTGGTATTTTGAAAACTATTCTAAATTAATTCAAGGGCTGTAGATATCATAAAATAATTCTATTGTCAGAAGTATAGACACTATTCCTGATTCATTTGAGTCTTTTAAAAAGTTGAAATTGAATTTCACTATAAAACAAAACAACATCAGGAAACTGTGATAAGAGAGACTTGTGTAGATTTTATTTTGAATAGCTTCAACAATTTAATTTCCTACTGTTGAACTATGGAAACACATGAGATTTTTTTTTCCATGCAACCCCAGTAATATATAACCTCTTGAACAACAGTAATCTGTAGGAAAATGAAAAAACAAAAATGATGATCCATACCTTGAATTTACATAAACATTCATCTTTAAAGAGTAAATATATAGAGGCATGCATTTTCTCTACAACAAGCGCACAAAATCAATAAGACAGAGCTTTAATTAATGTAAGTTTTCTATAATGTCATTAGCTTTTTAAACAGTTCAGTACTATATTGCCAGGCCTTCCTTTTCTTCTTTAAATATGTCCCAGAAATATGACTCCTCTCCTATTGTAGGAGTCAAGAGGAAGCTCAGATCCAGGTGTGGTGAGGCAGCCTGTACCTCCAGCAGTTGGAAGACAGGCAGGGAGATTGTGAGTTCAAGGCCAGACTACGAAACATAGTGAGACACTGCTTACAAAACCAAAAACTAAACTTAGCTCATCTACACAATTCCACAGGCACCCAACATTCTCCTAAACAGTACACCACTATCTGTCCTGCTACAGACCAAACCAAGGCCATTATGCTTTTAACGCCATTTTCCCACAACAATAAGAAGTTTCACTGTTTATAACATAATAATTAGCATAAGGATATTCATAGCTCTTCTGCTGCTGTTTTCTACACTTCACCGATTCCTTGCTTGTCTTCTGTTAGGTACACTGGAACACACAGTGCCTCACCCCTTCCTCATTGCTTACCTCCTTGAATAGCTTCTTTGTTTTCTGTCTAAATGAAATCTGTACCTCCACTGAGGGCACTGCTTCCCTCATAGTCTTTTCAACTGGTTCTGGGTTTTGTTTGTTTCTTCCATCTCCTTTATATTACTGTCTGTCCCTTCTCTTTCAGTAAAAACATTTCATGTCCTACATCATGCCAAGTGACAAAATCCAGACACAAAAATGAAAGGGTCTGTCTTATATGCACAATCTTTTTAAAAGGAAATGCATAGACAGAGAGAGAATAGTGGCTACCAGAGAT